TACTATGTTTTTTACTATAAAGGAATCATTCTGTGGATATATATTATAGACAGTGGCGTAATTATGGTAGGGGGAGGGGTTGTCAAGGGGACAATTGCCAACGCAAGCTTCTTAAAAATTACCTTTTTGTTTTGATAATTGTTAAAAAAAAGACTACTGAAGTACCAAGTCGATTTTTGCATTTTTACTGTTTATTTATCAAAAACACTTTTTACTATTTAGGTAGGTACTTTAGGATAATTTGTGTTTTAAGTTTTGTGTACTTTAGTTAAATAAAAATAAACTTATGACAAATTGAACTTTTATGACGTTATGTAAACTAATCAATAGGTGTTTAAAGCGTTGTTAAACAATTGTTTCAATATTCAAGTATTTATTGAAGCTGCCTCCCCCCCAGCCTTAAAATCCTAGCTATGCCATTGATTACAGCCATTAGGCATTCGTGCCTTTGCTAAAATTAAGAACATTTAACGTTATATAATAATTGTTGCAGAAAATTGGTTTGCAACGGACGGTGAGGCAGGTTATGATCTGTATTTGACAGGTGGTTTAATCGACAAAAAACTGACGATCGATGAGCATCTGAAACAGAAATGGTTGGACGAGAAGGTCAGACAATTCTACGCGAGATTTCAGATCTACACACCCAACATGGATTTGGTGACCCTGGTCGATATACGTGCAATGACTGATTGCGGGCTTACTTACGTGATATTTACTAACGTTAGTGCATTTAACGATGGTTTAACCGACGCCTTCGCTGTGATCAGAAGCACACAAATTTCCACCAATTTTTTTTAGTTCTTTTGTTTATTGTACTACGTTCAAGTAAATTCGAACTTTTTTATATGAATTATTATTGAATGTTTAACATCACCAATTGAAACTACGGTTCCCAGTGGCGCAAGTACAACGTAATAAAAAAAAAGACGTCATGGTGCTCTACAATATATTATTTTCATTATACATTATTTATAGAATAGATTTTATACCTTTATATATTAAAATACTTCAACTATTTACATAATGTTTAATACATTTAGGTAAAACCCAAGAGTATAGAGTATAGAGTAGTTTATAAATAATTTACATAATTATTTAGCTTCTAGTCATCTCCAGATAAATAATTAACTGGTGTAATTGGTTGTGAAAAATTGGTATATTGTACGGAGTAGGGATAATTATTGTAACGAAACATTCACTAACCGACGTCAATGCTACAGGTGGTGCAATCGGTGCCAGCGAGTTCAGTGATCATAGGATGGGACACTTATGTGTTCACGTTAACCACTTCTGGCTTAGTGCTAGCTGCAGGAGCCACATGTCTGTTTGTGCGCGCGTTCCGTTGGTCAAACCATCCGCGATGGACGCAGTGGTCAGCGGCGTACGATGGCCTGCTGTTTGTGTTGGTGGCCATTACAGTGTCTGTATTTCACAGGCGGCTATCTACCATGGAACAAGTGACGGCAGAGCTGTCCTCGGCTACGGATGACGTGTTCGTCAACCTATGGCCGTCGTGTCAACTGCACGTGATTTGCACATTCTCTGCGACCACCCTAACTGCCGCTGCACTATTGAAGCTCTTAAGAATACTGTGGACTGGACGAAGCTGGCTACGAAAACGAACACAGTAATTAACTGTTGTGGATTGTTCATAAAGTTTTTGTTATTGTTAAACTTTAAGCAAATGCGTTTCGCGTGTATTGTCTAAATAGTAAATATGTCTCACTCTATCACGAGGTTAGTTATAAAATGAACACTTTTGTACCGGGTTGGACGCGTTTGCGTCGTAAAATGTTTTATTTGACGAATAAGCTTATAAATGTTACTGTGAATGTCCGCAATTGGTGAGTCCTGACAGTCACCGGTTAATGTCGTCATACACCAAAATCATTGGAGAATGTTGGCATATTGATTAAAGATGTACTGGTTTTAAACATTTACTAGTGAATGTCGACATTTATATAACGATATTGGTGAATGTTGGTAATGCCGATATTATTTAATCTGATCTCTAATCATACTATCTAATATTCTAGTACCTTCCTAAATATTAACTAATTGCTAATATACAACGTATTGTACGAGTTGAACATTTCGATAAAATGTTTTATTACCTTACACTGCTACTTATTATATTTGGATAACCGGGATGCTATGCTGCCTCGTTAACATTTAGTATGATATATGCCCGGTTGCATAAAAGTTATTAATTATATAGCTGACGAATGATTAGCTAATGGCTCATTAGTGATTTTAACGCCTCGTTACATCAATAATGAATTTAATGATTTTCCAAGGAGAATAATATATTTTTTTTATAATCTCTTATTTAATATATACATTTTATCAGCTGAGTTGATATCACATGGTTTTTATCGCGTTTAACGAAAATAATTTTAAATTTTAATATCTTAAATTTTTAATGTTTATTGACTATTGTGTACCATACTACCGTAGTACCTTTAACTTATTTCTTCAGAAGCTTTTTATTAAAATGACCGATGCAAAGCGGTCAAGAGGAAAAAACTTCCTGGACAGCGAAAAAGAGATGCTTATTGATCTTATTATACCACATAAAAGTATCATAGAAAACATAAAGGCAAGTATAAATCCTACAAACAAAAAAATATTTTACTAGTTTTAGTTGTAATTTTAAACATTTTGTCATACATACATACATTTTATGAAACTATGGTATATTTTAGACTGATAATGCAACAAATAAAACTAAAGATCAAATCTGGGAACAAGTAACAATTGGTTACAATACTTTACAAAAAAGTGGTATAAGGTCGACAAATCAATTGAAGAATGTTTATGATAACTTAAAAAGAGTTACAAGAAAAGAGAAGAGTGATAACAAAGTAAGTTATATTTTAAACACTGTAGTATATTTCAGTCATAGGACAGATAAATATATATTTTAATTCTGCAATAATTTTTAAGGTGAAATCATATATGGATTTCAAAAAAAAAAGTTTGTTAAACTCTTTCTCTCAGAGCGACAAAGAAATATTGGTTGATCTAATGATTCCATATAAGGACAGTTTAGATATCGAAGTATGAATATACATTTGATAATATTTATCCAGAATAACTTCTAATACTTGATTACTATTTTATTATTTTTATTTCAGAAAAATTCAGAATTTGGTAATCTTATTTGGCAGGAAGTTTGTGATTCATATAATTCACAAACAACCAATCCAAAAACCATCAAAGAAATCTGTGATATATATGAAATTATAAAAAGTGAAGCTAAGCTCAATCGAAATGCTGAAAAAGTAAATTATATTCAATTTTTTCTAAAATATTATCATTGATTATAAATATTAGTATTTATAATTATAATCAATGTTATTATTAATACTATAATGCTACTATATAAATTCAATTTGCTGTCCATATTTTAGAAAAGCATTTATAAAACTGGTGGTGGGAAGGGTGATTGTTCAATTTCTACACCAGGACAAGATAAGATCTTAGGCTTTATAGGTGACCGTATGGATCCTCTTGAAAACCAGTTAGATTCCGATACTGAGTACCTTGGTAAATAATACTGCTTATATATTTCCATAATAATGTTAAACATTAAAAATGTTATGTAAATCTTTTAGAACTCATTAGACGTGGAAAGAATGTGGAAACTTCTACAAAAAGTGTTGATGATAATTGTATGTAAAACATTAAATTACCTAGTAATTGTAAATTTACAAATATTTTGTCATATTTTCTTTTAAAAAATTATATGTTTCAGTTGATATTGTAGAAGTAGGAATAGAACAAACATATGATTCTTTTCATTCATCTGATCAACTTAATTTTTCAATGGCTAGTGAAACAATAACAGCAATTGGTAATATAGAAAGTCATAATATATGAATAGATAATTGAATTTAAAACTTTTTTTTTTAGTTGATACAGATGAACGTTCCGAACTTATTATACCTGGATACTTAAATCAGTTGAATCCATATTGTGATAAAATAAGTGAGTTATTTATTTTCATAATTATTAACTTAAACCTAATGCCTACGTTTTTTATAGAACAAAATTCTTCAAATGAAAAAAGTTCTACAACAAAAAAACTGAAATCTAATGATCCAGTAGCAGCTCCTAAAGGTACTGGCAGTAATGTAAAAAGTCATAATATATGAATAGATAATTGAATTTAAAACTTTTTTTTTTAGTTGATACAGATGAACGTTCCGAACTTATTATACCTGGATACTTAAATCAGTTGAATCCATATTGTGATAAAATAAGTGAGTTATTTATTTTCATAATTATTAACTTAAACCTAATGCCTACGTTTTTTATAGAACAAAATTCTTCAAATGAAAAAAGTTCTACAACAAAAAAACTGAAATCTAATGATCCAGTAGCAGCTCCTAAAGGTACTGGCAGTAATGTAAAAAGTCATAATATATGAATAGATAATTGAATTTAAAACTTTTTTTTTTAGTTGATACAGATGAACGTTCCGAACTTATTATACCTGGATACTTAAATCAGTTGAATCCATATTGTGATAAAATAAGTGAGTTATTTATTTTCATAATTATTAACTTAAACATAATGCCTGCATTTTTTTATAGAACAAAATTCTTCAAATGAAAAAAGTTCTACCACAAAAAAATTGAAATCTAATGATTCAGTAGCAGCTCCTAAAACTACTGGCAGTAATGTTTACAAAACTTTAAATGAACTTGTTGGAAAACGTTCATCAATGGTAGACACTAATGTTGAAAACAAAAAAAAACTATATGATATACAAATATCAAAAGCCAAGGTAGAATTGGAAACAGCATTGATTGAAAAAGAAGTGGCTGAGAATAAGCGGTTAAGTTCTATATCCGAAACACAACAAAACAAATATAAAGAAGAAATTTTGAAATTGGATCTAGAATTAAAAAAAAAATTATTACAAAAGTAAATTGTATATATTGTATTTTAATATTATAAAAACATTGTAAAAAAAAATAAAAGTTATTAATTTAGTCATCACTGGAAAATACAGTATTAATTAAATGTGTCCTATATACATTTCCAATTTGTCTTGCTGGTAAAACAGGTAATTCTTGAAATATTTCTGGATCAATTTCATCATTGTCATCTTGAGGCATGGGGTCATTATGCATTCGTAACATATTATGCAAAACCGCAGCAGCTACTATTATAGCCATAGTGGTTGTCAATTTTGTCCTTATGCCCAAGGCTAATGCAGGAAATCTTCTTTTTAAAATACCAAAAACTCTTTCAATTATATTTCTTGTACCTATTTGAGATTTCTAAAACAAAATTAGAATATTTGTATGAGATAAAATGTTCACTAAATGTTTATATCTGCAATCTAAATACCACACACAATTTTCAATATACTTAAAACTTATTAATACTTAAAATTATAAAAAAAGTTGAGCATAAAATATAAATCCATAATTGTTTTTTATAAGCTTATTAATCTTGATTTTTTTTTTAAATGCAAAAACTTGCTAATTATTTTGTAGTTAATAATTAATTAAAGTTTCAATTTTAATAATTAAGGATTGAAAATTTAAAACAAGGTTTCTATATTGTATTGAAAAAATCTAATTAATATATTTTTTGTATACATTTTAAGTTCAAATTCGGACAAAATTACATAATTAATTGAAGAATAATGATTTTAGTTCTTTTTGTTTTAATTTAAAAAGTATTATTTGTAGGTACTTGAAACTCTTGAAAGTATATCATTATATTTTAAACCTACAATGTTTTTGCCAAAAATTAATTAAACCTACTGTATTACTTAATGCTTATATATAGTAAAATAAATTACTTTTAATTACAATAATTTAATAAAATTACTTGGTATTTTTTTTCTGATGCAGTTAGAGGATTTAAAAGAGGTGTCATTAAATATCTTCTACATGGGTAACCTCCATCTCCAAGAATATAACAATCTCCAAACTCATTATTTTCTAATTTGGCACGAACAGAACTATTATCGAAAATAGTGCTATCGTGCACTGATCCAGGCCATCTAAATCAGGCATAAAAATAATATTATTACATTATATTTTTAATTATTTTAGTAGAACCCAAACATACTGGGTATAAATGTATCATATTACCTTGCAACAATATCGGTTATTTCTAGATTACTATTACATACGGCTTGTACATTAAAACTAAAGTAACCCTTTCTATTGCGAAATTGTTCACCAATATCTTGGCAAGGAGACTGAATTCTGATGTGGGTACAATCTATAACTCCAATAACTTGAGGAAATTTGTGCATTTTATAAAACCCAAATTTTGTTTGTTGTATTTCTTCAAGGGTTGATGGCATTTTAATAAATTTTCTTCGGAGTTGAGCAATTTCATTACACACTCGTTTTATAATACGACATACTGATGATTTATGAATGTTTACCAAATCGCCAATAACTGCCTGAAAATATTTCACAGAATAGTCAGAATAAGTCAGTAACAGAGTGATAGGGTATTTCATGAGGCTGTATACTCTTCTGTAAGACCTACATTTTCTACCATGCCTTAACTAATAAAAAATAATAAACAACATTATTTTTGAGTCTGAGGAAGGTTCATTATCTATCACCATCTGATATTCTGATTTAATTATAAATAAACCTTATAATTTCTTACTTGGAATGTTCCAGTAGCAAGAAATCGCAATGTAATTAATATTTGCATTGAAGATGGAATAGCATGATTTCTTCTTGTGTCATGTTGAATATTTTCCCCAATCAAATGCATCAATTCACCAAACATGACTTTGGAAAGACTAAAAAAGGCTTATTTATTAGGTATCTTATTAATACATACCTATACATAAAAATTAAATTAGATTTATATACCGGAATCTACGACTGAATTCTACATCATCAAAATAAGTCAGTGGATCAGATCTATTTCGAAACACTCTTGGTTTTGGTAAACGTATCAATATATTTAAGATAAATTCTTCTTCACTCTCATTCGATGATGATGATGATGATTCATAATACAATGCCATAATTTAAAAGTAAAATTAACTATCAATTAATTAAATATGACACAAACAAAAAATAATAATTATAATTATTATAATACAAAAGTATACATTATTAATATAAAAAATATTAAATAATTATGTTTATGTTATCAGTTATCATAAAATATAAACATAAATTGTTTACAGATAACACGTTTTAACGAGCCTTTAAAGTTTAGCGATCCAATATTGGGCAATTATCTAATGGACCGTTAAACTAAAATTTAACGGCCGTTAAATATTTAAAAGAACGTTTATGCAACGAAATTTATTTAGCGAGTCGTTAAAGCTGCTAACGGTCCGTTAAATATTTAACGATCTTTTATGCAACCGGGCAATAGTCATTCAACGTAGCTATAGGTATATTTTACGATTGATTTGCACAATACCCAACACATTTTTTTTTCAATGGAAAACATACGTGAAGTATTTTATAATAAATTTAATAATGTAGTACCTAGGGTATAAAGCAAAGTCCATATGAAGCTGACCATATGAAGAGGTCTGTTTTCGTCTTCTCTTCGAAGAGCATTTAGAAAACGTAATCAAATGAGTATGTAGGTACCTATAGTAATTATAATATAAAGTTGATGAAATAAATAATAATAAATATTAATTGAAAATGATTAACAGATTGTGAAAAAGTTGATCGAGAAAGTGAAAATACGAGTGATGATGAACAACACGAAAATAATTATACAGGTATCAAGTATAAAAAAAAAAACATTAAAATGAATAAATTAATATAATAAATATTTATAAATATTTGAAAATGATTAACAGATTCTGAAAAAGTTGATCGAGAAAGTGAAAAGTCTAGTGATGACGAACGACAGGAAAAAAAATAACAAGTACGTATGAACTTTTAATAAATAAATTAATAAGTGAAACTTAATTTACTCAATTCAATTAGTTTGTAGATAAACTAATTGACAGAAGAAAAGAAAAAATAATTTTCAATAGAGAAGTAGCAATTGCAAGTCCTCAAGTACAAGTCGTAAAAATGTTGAGAACTTTTGGCATTTTATGTAATTTAAAATGTCATGACAGTTTGCCATGTTGCAATAAGTAGCCTTTTTTGAAATAATAATTTTTGTATTGCAAGATAATCATAATTTAAATTAATAATACATATGTATAATATTGTTTAATAATAATAATTATAATTAATAAAACTAATTATTAATATTTATAACTCAACATATCGTTTCTGTTTTATATTATTGTCTAATAGCCTATAGTAGGTACTATACTATAATATTATGTGCAAATACGTAACTTATGTCAACATTAACCAAAACCGTGTTGTGTATGTCAACATTGACCAAAATCCTAATGTAAATGTCAACATCCACTAGTATATGTTTATATTATCTTAATTTTTAAACATTCACCAATTCAAAAGGTGTATATCGACATTCACTAGGTGATTGTCAGCACTCACCAGTTGCGGACATTCACAGTAACATATACATGAAACCTATATAAAAATCAGGTATATCTGTGTAGGACACTGTGTGAATTGGACGAATCAAGCGATCGTGGCATGAGTGAAATTGAAATAGGAATGGTAAACAAGCCAATCCAGCGCAGAGTACCCCACCTACCGTGGCGGCAGTAAGCGTTCTCGTAATACGAGTAAATAAAGGTCTAACATCATGTAGGTGAGCGGGGTTATTTCCATGTTTTTCGGAGGTTCAGACTTCAGATTATAGGTAAACAATAATCCACAAGTATAGAAGAATATAACCAGTAAGTGAGATGGTTGGTCAGGGTGCAAGACGTTTCGGTCAACCAGGAGAGGTATTTAAAAGTCGGAAGGAAGTTGGGCTCGTTTGGTTGAACTTGGAATATGTCGATCTATTGTTATCTTCGATCGTCGAAGAAAAAGCATGTCCCGAGTCGTGTTCGTGTAACCAACCGTGGTAGAACTGTTTTGGAATTTCAAAATGAACAGCTCGGGTGCCTAGGGTTGAGCGCTATATTCGAGAAGCATTACGCGCAAGTGACTAGAAAAGAGCAAGGTTTTCCATTCCGTGAGTCGCGGTAAATGGTGCCAACCATCATAGGGGGGGGGGGGCTGACGGGATAAGAGTCTTGTGGTGGAAAGCCAGTCACCACACTCTCAAGTCGTTTTTCCTCGTGGAATTTTCTATACAATACTGGATAAGCAACTCCTATATAATATTTTATATTATTATTCATGAAGCTTAGCTGTAGACGGCCACATTTTGTCAGTCAGTAAAACATTTTATTCATTATACAAAATGTGTTAGGATAAACATCGTTTTTATTGGTAAAATAAAATAATCAATGTTAAATGATTCATGTAAAATATATGTTTGTATATTATGTTTTTAAAGCAACACGTATTAAAATAATAAATTACAATACAACATAAATCATTATTAATCTTATTTACCACATAAAATACTATTCAATGTCAACCACACAACTAGATTTCAACTCATAGCGGTAGTTCACCATTTACTACCTACAATATAGAAATGTGTGTTGTTTCTCATACATGTCTCCATATTCAATATTGTAGACGGTTTTTAAGGAATGTTTTAAGACTATATTAATTAAGCGATTCCTAAGAGTGTCTATATTTAGTGATTTTTGGGGAATAAACAAATGCAATTTTAAGGATTTTAAGGGTATGAACTACGAAGTCCCTAGAGTTAGAACCAATAAACATTACCGTGGTTTAGTGACTAACAACATTACTAAGACACTAGTCGACGTAATAAAGCCTCATAAAGCTGGCCTAATAAGAAATAAAAATGACTTGGTAGGTACATAATATTATATCTAATATCTACGTACACACCAAGCATAAAAACTGTGCACAAATTTAATTCAATCATAAAAAAAATGCTCTGCTGTACAGTAGGTTACAAGTGGGACACTGTATAATGGATGGTATTAAAATTGAATTCAATGATATAATATCATTGTATAAGAAAAACGATTCTGAACGGAGACGGTGTGTCAGTCTACTGTCTAGGTATAAGACATATTATATTTTTATCTATTTTGAACTCAACTGTTTTAACTCTTTACTATGTTTTTGACCAATAAAATTGAAGTTACCTGCATGTGTCAGTCATATTAACTGAAATGGAACGTTAATCTAAATATAGTACCTTAACTATTTGTAGGTCATGAAATAACTCATTGGAACTGTAATTTTGAGAATCGAAGTTATTTAGTTTAATTTTTTTGAAGGTTTAGTTTTACTATAAGTTTAAGCCATTATCTGAATTATTTTAACAGCTAAAAAAAGTATAAATGAACATTGTAAAACTAGTTATGTAGTTGATTTATTCATGATAAAATAATGTTATATATAATATCTATATCAATTATTCTATAGTTATATATTATATTTGTAGTTTAGATACATACTTAACCTTTTAAATGTTAATACACGAATTAAGGTAGCCTGTAGGTATAGCCTATAGGTACCTACTTACATTGATTCAGCCTGCAATTTAAATGAATAGTTAAGTCTTAAGTAACAATATTATAAAAAAAATGAATATTGTTGCTTAAACAATACAGTTAACTGATTTTTAAGCTTTACTGTTTTTACTATTATGGTAGTATAAATAAATTGTACATTTATACTTTCGTAGGTAGCTGATATAGTTTTTACTTGTTTGGACCATTGGGAGGCAATTAAAATAAAATAAATTAATATGTATAATATAATTATAAGTTTATTGTTTCAAAGGCAGATGAAAAAAATTAAAAATCCATAGTCACAATTTTTTTTTATAAGAATTTAAAGTTCAAATATTGACAAAATACGTAAAAATTACGAAAATTTCCAAATTATTTTGAGTTAGAAATTCATAAAAAATGTTCTTTTTAAGTCTAAGATTTTAAAATGTAATACAAGATTCCTCTTAAGTTTGTCTACCTTTATCGAAAAAAAAAATTTCAAAAAAATTTTTATTTTTATTAAATTTTTATGAGAGTTTGAAATTTATATTATTACTACATTTGATATTCACTAGATTTCTCTTGTAACGATTTTCTTATTTTGTTGTAATTAAAAAACGAATGCATGTAAAATGTTTAACATTTTTTGAATTTTTGTTTCCACGAATGTCAATAAAATTTTATTTCATTAATTAAATTAAATTTAAAAAACATTAACAAAATTATGTAAAAAGCTAATGGCCTATGTCGCCGAAGCTACACAAAGATCAATAAAAAAAAAAAAATTTTATTTCTTAAAATACAAGGCTCCTAAAATATTGTGACAATGACATTTTAAAAATATTTAAAATCCAAACACACAATTTTTTTTATAAGCCTTTAAATTTGAAACATTGACAAAATACGTAAAAATGAGGAAAATGTGCAAATTATAATTTTTAAATCTAAGATTAGAAAATGCAATACATGATTCCCCTCATAACTTTGTTTAACTTTATCGAAAAAAAAATGTCCACAAGAAAGTCAAATAATAAATAATATAAAAAAAGGTGGGCAAGTGGGTGTCGCTCTGCTGTACAGTAGGTTACAAGTTTGTCACTGTATAATGGATGGTATTATATTTGAATTCAATGATATAATATAATAGGAAAAACGATTCTGAGCAGAGACGGTATGTCAGTCTAGGTTTAAGACATATTATATACATATTAAATATTGAAATAAAATAGGTACCTATAATAAATTCCAAATTAAATATTAATCATATCACAATATCCATTGGGTACTTATAAGCGTTATACATCAACAACAAACCGTGATACTATCATAGATATATAATAGTACACTTACCCATGAATAATATTATACAATCACAACAAAATAACTAAAATAGTTATGCTAGGTTTTTTAATATGTAATTTTATCCAAATATGAATTTAAAATGTGTGTAAAAATAACTGTGCTCATATATTTTTTAGATTTTTTGGCTACAGTATGAACTATTTATGAGAATCTTTTTTTTAAATTTTCAA